CCTCCTTTATGACCACATCCTTTACCTTGGCCTCCTCTTCTTCTACAAATCCTACATCTTCCACTTGTTCCGTAACAGGGCCCAGGTCCGACCCATTCATGCTATGCGGCGGAGTGGGCTCAATGACCTTGAGCTCGGGAACAGGCCAAGGCAGATTCCGACCATAGTATGGCTCCGAGCTGATCAGGGACTTGTCAGCGGCAGGTTCGATTTCAATGATGGTAGGCATTTTGGTGCCGGCATCTTGGCGAGAAGAGGACTGCGAGTCGGGACTGTGACGCAATTCCTCGGGACGGAAGTAGTCGGCATAATCCTCATAGACGGGCTTGGTGCGAGCCACATCACGGAAGACCGAGGTTTTGATCGGCCCAGTGGGGATTGTCTCGATGGGCTCGGTGGCAACAGGGCTCGGGGGGCTGGCGACGCTTGTTGGTTCATCAGCCTGCGAGGAGGTTTCTTGTCGCATGCTGGTTCTGGACAGATCGGACCCTTGCTCAGACGACCGTCTGCGCGCGGCACGGCGATTCTTCCGTCGTTCGTCGAACAGACGAACGGATTCTTCGTGAACGATGGATTCTTCGTGAAGAAGGGATTCTGCAGCCATCGCACTGGTGAACACACTGGCTACCTCGGTTCCAACCGAGGAAGAGAAGGGGGAGGATGTCGGGGGAGGTTGAGCTTTCTCTGGCAGAGGAGGTGCTTCAATCGCCATGGGCGGAGGAGGCGCCTCGATCGCCTTCGGCGGGGGTGCCTCGATCGCCTTCAGCGGCAACGACTGATCGTATACGGAATAATCTTGCTCCACTTCTCGACGAGAGTCGACACGGCGGTCATTATTGCGGAGTACCAGCTCCTGGGTGCCGCGCTTCAATTCTTCCAATCGGGCCACGCGTCGCTCCTTGTCGGCTTGTTCCTCGGTCAGGTCAAATTGTACGCTGGCCTGTTCCTTGGTTGTCACGCGTCGTTTCAAGCTAGGCGCGGCGGGGGCATCGGGCAACATAGCGACGGGGAAGACGGGCATGGAGTCGCTGCGATGATGGTGGCTCTGCTGGTCAAATCTATCGTCATATTTTGACTGCTGCACCTGCTGAATCTGTTGAATCTGTTGGATCTGTTGGATCTGCTGGATCTGCTGGATCTGTTGCAACTGCTGCACCTGCTGCACCTGCTGCTGCTGATGCTGCTGCTGCTGCTCCAGGTACTCGCTACTCCGTTTACTCCAGTACTCGTTCCGCGAATCCTGGAAGCGCGCAGCGAATGAATCGACAGCCACAGGCGGCACGATCGGGGGAGGGGAAGCATGCACCAGATCCGTTTGAGTGGTATACACAGCCTGAGAGACGGGGGCAACTGGCTGGGGTTGCTGCAAGGGGATGGGGCCCGGACGGACGAGGGGAGGCAGCGCGCCCGACGAGGACGAGGAGGAGACTTTAGCCACGTCGAAGCGCGAGGGGTCCGAGGTCGCGACGGGGACGAGACGTTGCAGGCTGCCCACACTACTGGACACATCTTGGCTCTGGTATGCTGCTGAGACATCTTCTTGTTCCCATTGCTGGTGGTGCTGGTGATGCTGCTGCTGGGACTGCTGCTGAAACTGCTGCTGAAACTGCTGCTGCTGGCGTTGTCGGCTCTTCTTTTTCAACGTCTTACCACCCCAGATCCAACTCCATCGAGACGGAGCAGAGTCGGAGTTGGAGTTCATTGAATCCGAATTAGGATACATGGCGCTATAGCCAAAGACCAGGCCAGAGTTCACGCTAGAGGAGGAGTGGTCGGAGGTTTCGGCATCCTCCCACTCATCATCATTGTTGGCCGAGGAGGCGTAGGCCGACTGACGGGCCTCCTTGGCCGCGAGGATCTCGCCTGTCCGCCGGCCGTGCCGCTCAGAGGCCACGGCCACGGCGGTAGCAGCGGCGCCGAGACCCAGCAGCTTGGCGTCGATGTCGCTATCTCTCTGGCCCCTTCTCTGCTGCTTTTTCTTGGACCGCATGGAGGCGGGTTTCTTGGCAAAGCCGCTTCCAAATGCAAGGTCTGCATCAAGCGACGAGGTGGAGGCAGAGGAGGAGCGCGAAGCGGAGCGGTTGAAGGAGAAGAAGCTGCGGCGCTTTCTGGAGGAGCGGCGGCGGCTGGTGCGATTCTCCGACGACGCCGTGAAAAAGGTTCCCAGGCCCGCACCAATGGTCTCCCCTTGAGGTCGAGAGATGTCGACGAAAGAGGATGAATCCGAGCTCGAATTCTTGCGCCTGCGGTTGCGGCTGCGGCTGCTGCTGTTGATGGCGGGGGCAGCTTCGGTGGCGGTGATCCTTCGCGGCGAACGACCGGGACTCGGAGGCGGAGAATGAGACGGCTCGGCCAATACCAGGGCAGTCGAGCCGACGACGGCACCGAGAGCAGCCTCCTTGAGGACTGAGTGATGACGGGACTGCGAGGAGGAGCGGGAGCGGGGGCGACGACGAGGCGATCTCTGGTCCGGTCTGTAGTCGATGCGGGCGGAGCTGGCGTCGGTGCGGTCACGGGAGCTACTGCGGTTAGATGATCGACGATAAACACCCTGGGAGGTGTAACTCTTTCGTTCAGAAGTAGTAGTGGTGGTGGTGGTGGTGGCGACGCTCTCGCTCTCCTGCTGCGACGAATGGTAGCGTGAAGACTCGCCAACGCGTCGACCAGAACGGACACTGTACGAGTCTTCAAAGTCCTTGCTGGTGAACAGGGATTTGGCAGCATAGCCTGCGATAACACCGGGGATCAACCACGAGCTCCTTTTCGCCTTGGTCTTCTTGGTTGCTTTGCGCCGGACGTCCTCCTCCGAGGAGCGATAGCGACTCAACTTCTCCACGCGGGATCCACTGCTGTAGGAGGATGAGGCTGACGAGCGACGGCGGCGGCGGTCATAATAATGCTGCCGCGGGGCATCCCGCGACGTTGTGCCCGGTTCGAAGCAGTATTTGCACACGCCGATGGTCTCCGTGTAGTCCTCGAATCTGCCGACGCCATGGGGATCGCGCCAGAAGTCGACAAAGGCGTCGAGTGGACCACGCTGCCGCTGCTGGAAGGCCAGAGCACCGGACTGGTAAGGCTGAGGTGGGTGAGGGGGGACCTGTCCAGGCGCGACTTGCGGGGATGGAACCCCAGGAGGATGATTATGCATCTCATGGGCTGCGTATGCTGCTGCTGATGCTGCGGCTCCTGCGGCTCCTGCGGCACCTGCGGCACCTACTACACCCAGTGCACCGACCGCACCGGCGTCGGCCATGGGTAGACCGGGACCGCTGGCACCGGCACCCTGCCCCGCGGCAACAGACTCCTCGTAGGTCTGCATGGTATACTGTGACGATTGCTGCTGTTGCAAGAATTGTTCGTGCTGCGAGGAAGTGTGCTGGTGCGACAGCGCGTATGCGGCTGCTGCACCGGCGGCTGCACCGGCGGCTGCCGCCCCAAGGGCAGGGCCCGAGACGCCATGCGAGGGTGGCTTATCCTGGGTGCTGATGGTAGTGGGATTGCAAGGTCCAATCCCGTACGTGTCTGCCGTCGGCCTGCCTGTCGGTCTGTCTGTTTGTGGTCTATTAGACTGAGGTGGTCCGTCTGATTGTGGGAGTCCAGTCAACGATGGTGGTCTAGTTGACTGTGGCGGCCTTGACTGTGACGGTCTTGACTGTGACGGTCTTGACTGTGACGGTCTTGACTGCGATGGCTTGGTTGACGGCTTAGTCGGGCGTGACGGTTTCCCCTCCGGCTCCGGGGCCTGGGTAGGAAGATCGGCGTGCTCGGTAAAGTAGGCCGCGGCGGCGCCCACCTGACCTACACTGCTAGGTTCTGGCGGGGGATTCGCGGTGGGGGACGCCATCATCAGATGGGCCTGGCTGTTGGGAATCACCAGCGGGGGTTTTGGCCGCAAGCCCGGCTGCTGCGAGACGGACTGGCCCTGGTCACCGTAGTAATCGGCCGCCTCGCCCGCCGGGTTCGGGGGACGATACGGCTCCGCGACTGCGGCTGGGAATTGGCCGGGGAATTGCTGCTGGACGTGTGGATCATACATCATATGCGGCGGGGGTGCAGAGCCGGGCACAGGGCCGGGCGCAGGCACCGGTGGCCCTGGCAGGGGACCGGTCATATTGTGCAAGGGAAACTGCGGAGGGAAGCCACCTGGAGGAGGAGCAGCACCACCACCACCAGCAGCAGGGCCCAGAGGAGGGAGGAAATCACCGGAGCGTGTACGGGTTGGTGGATATCTCCTCTCGCCCTGATTATCATTGTTGTCGTCGTCGTCGTCGTCGTCGTCGTCGTCGTTGTTTCTGTCCAGGGGCCTCCGCCGTCTCTCTTGACGACGCGGCTCATCCCCTACGGTGGTCCGCGGGCTGCGCTCGATGAGGATACGGTCTGCTAGCTCCGGCCCCGGTTCGGCAGTCACATAGCTGGAGGCGACGGACTCGCCGGCGGCGCTGGGCGCATAGCGAGACTGGGAAGGCGGGTCATCGTCCAACCCACGATCACGGCGGTAGTAAGCAGGTTGATCGTCGTCGATGGAACGCCGGGCGGTGGTGGTCGACCTCGCGGACGAAGAGGAGGATTGTTTGGAGCTGGTTCTGCGGCGAGTGCTGGAGCTGGAGCTGGAGCTGCTCTTGCGGTCGGAACGGGCCCCGCCCACGAGGGCCTTGAACATGGTCACAACCTCAGTTCTGTAGGGATGGCATGTGGATTAGATTGTAAGCGATAGATAGTAAAAAGCGATGGATAGTCAAAAAGCGAAGAGGAATATTATTAGGTAGGTGTTTGTATGAGAAAGTGAAAAGGGAGGCTGGTTGTTTTGCGACCGTAAAAGTAAACAAGAAGCTGAAGGAAGCGAACCGTGGGCTGGCTGGAGAGGCCTGCGATTAGCTTCATTTGTGGGGCAGGGGAAAAGGCATTTACGAACCAGAGGAAGACTAGGAGGTATACTCCGTAGTCAGTCGTCACTAGCAGTTGACTAGTCCCTTTCTCTGCGTTTGTTTCGGCTATTTGCCCTCTGTCTGGGAGGGTGTGTTGGATGGAGAGAGGATGGCTGTACCGACTCCATCACACAGGAGTCGGAGGAGTCGGGTAGGCAGAAGCAAAGCTCGCACAGCCGGGGGCGTGGCAATAGGCTGGATCGCTCGGATCTTGTTGGTTGTTTCGAGCAGCTGAAAGCTCGATCTGCCAGCTGTCTTGCAGATCACTTGCAGCTGCTGTCAGGGATGACTCTGGAGTGAGAGAGATGGAGGGAGAGAGAGAGAGAGAGGGAGGGAGAGGTTGAGGTGAAGTCGAAATGGGTGAGTCGGTGAAGCACGTGTTGGCCTGCTTTTAACTACGGTTTACCCAGTGTCTACCTTTTTACTGAGTGATTACTTAGGGATCAAGGTATTATTATCTAGGTACGGAGGACTCTGTACTGGATGACAGGTCTATTCCAGAGTATTACAATTATTATGGAATTCTTACGTACTTTGTATACTACATACGAGCTATCTATTGAGTGTATATAAAGGGTATTTGGGTACCCTACACAATGACATTATTGAGGGTATAGATATATAGCGACCTTTTATGTTCGAGTCTATCAATCCGCAAGATCAGACAGATCAATCTCATAGTATCAGTACCTAACACCAAAAAAAAAAGCCGCCTGAGCTGAAACAGAGGACCACCATGCAACTGGCGTAGCCAGGAATGAGTAATAGAAGAACAGAACAGGAAGAGATAAAAATAGAATAAATGACACGATCAATGAAAAGAACAATACAGCCGTAAAAAAAGGGAGAAGGAGAGAGAGAGAGAGAGAGAGAGAGAGAGAGAGAACTAGATCTCAGGCACCCGGTGGAAGATCTTATGATAAATCTCCGTAAGGATCTGCGCGTCTACACGTAGACTCGGCGAGATGTTCTTGCTGAATAGTAGGAACTGGATGGTACGTTTGAGAAGATGCTCGAGTAGCTTCGGGTCCACCAGGTCCGACAGACTAGACATGTACGTAGCTGACAGGACGAGCATATTTCCGAATTGTCTGAACGGTTAGAATGAATGAATGAATGAATGAAAGATTTGAATAAAAAAAA